ATTATGTTTTTTTGTATTACATTTTTGTAATTCTTGATTTACAATAAAATTAATTGACTCAGTCATTAGTTTTTTCAGACACCCTGTATAAGCAAATCTAAAAAATATTAATGCAGTGATAAATCACAAATATAGACTCATCATTTTTTACACATTTAAGCATTTTTTTAGCAAAATTTTGCGGTGGCGTCGTCAAATTTTTAGGGGGCGTGAGAAAATACATTTCGATCAAAATTTTACCATGCTTATGATAAATTTAAAACATCTCCAAGATTTCAAAGCATTCGGTTTTGTAGTTCCTGATTAAATCAATAAAATAGATTCACACTTTCATTAATTTTTTTGAGTCTCCCTGTATATGCAAATCCAAAAAATATTAATGGAGTGATATATAGGAGATATCAAGTGGTGGGGAATGTAAGTGCACGCACTTTCCTGTGCTCTGTGTCTGACCTTTAATTTGGCGAGTCTGTCTGATTTTTAATCGGGAAAAAGCGCTGGTTAGTGATCGGTTTGTGAGAGCATTGGTTGTCCCGGTTTTTACCAGGAATAGTCCGCTGGTTGCTATATTCCTAAGGATTTACGTTTTGATTTAGTTGTCACGTTCGAATATTTGCTTATCAGTGCTCTTTTTGTCCATGGGCGATAAAATTTTCTTTCGATAGGCACGAGGCGCGCGACCAAGGCGCTGGCGTGTTGCCGTACTTTGTTACGCCTTGTCCCCCTTTGGGACAAGTATTTAGTTTTAACCACTGTTCATGATGGCTAATAATTTCGCTACTAAAGAACAAGCGGTAGTTATCACCGCTGTTGATACTTTGAATTTGCAGGATTACATTGTTGCAATAGGTAATGTTGTGACACCCAAAAATATCTTGTTTGCATCTAGAATCTCAAAAAATCGTATTCTTCGAAGTCTTTGGCTGATGACCTTGTCACGGTGCATCCCTCTATTAAAGTTAAAGATGTTGACGTCGGTATACGTCGTTTATTAAACCCAGCTCGCCGATTAATTTTATCAAACGTCTGCCCATCAATTCCTCATATTATTTTTGAGAACAGAATTAAATCCCTCGGACTTGTCCCTGTATCACCTATGTCTTTTATGAGAGCGGGCATTAAAGACGAACAATATGCGCATATACTCAGTTTTCGCAGATACATGTATGTTCAACCTGACGACAGCATTATTCTTCCTGATTTTCTAGTGTTAAAATAATACGATGATACGAATTACCGGGTTTTTTTGACATATGATGACGTTTGCTACAAATGCAAAACGAGTGGCCATTATGCTAACGAATGTCCTAATGTTACTTCTTCAAATCAGGACCCTAATCTCACAGTAAGCATTGAAGAGACCCCTAGAAAAAGGCAGATTGACGACGACTCAGTTCTCCCGAAATTTCACCTCAAGATCTCTCTGGTGATACTTCCAGTAAAGTAAATAATACTTTAAAAAAGAAAAAAACGAGTGACTCCTGCGACAGTTTAACTCCGACTCTGGATTTGCTTTTACCTGCCCAAGACTTACTGAACAACACTGAGCAGTATCCACTGAACTTTGATCAAGTGGTCGGGTTCTTGGATAAGGCATCAGGTGTTAATGATATTCTTAGCCTTGTACGTGAATACACAAATGATATTCAAGGAGTTATGAATTTATTGTATGACGTTTACCCGATTGTGAATCAAAAAAGTATGAAAAACAGATGTCGAAAAATACATAGAAAAATTAAGAAAGCTTACAATCCAGATAACTTTAATTTGATTGAATTACCTTCAGGCACTCGTGAGTACGGCATGGAGGATGACTTAAGTCATTCCTCCAAGAAAATGTACTGGCTTTGCACTATTGTATAATCTTTTTAATCAAAATGGCGTCTGCTAATGCACACTATTTTACTCATCCTATTATTTACACTAACCTTGCGTCATTACTTGCGAAATATGACGAATTATGCACCCTAGTCAGTGAACTGAAACCATCATTTGTACTAATTTCAGAAACCTAGTTAACTCCTTTAGTGACTGACCCGCCGATTTCCTTAGATGGATACGCAGTTTTTAGAAAAGATCGTCACAACAACAAAGGTGGAGGTGTTTGTGTTTATATCTCTGATCACATCTGCGCGAACTTTGCAGTTATTCCCATTACAGCCGACACGGGTAACATTGACTCCATATTTCTGAAGATAACAAATACGAGATTGACGTTTCTGTTAGGTTGCATTTACCGGCCACGTACGTCCATCATCGAAGATGACCACTCCCTTTTCCAGTGCATCTCAGAGATAACTGACGTTTATCAACATCTTTTTATTTTTCGTGATTTCAATATGCCTGATATAAAGTGGCCCTTAAACGCCTCTCAGTCTTTTTCTCCGTCTTCTCAATTATTAATCGACCTGTTATTGAATAGTCACTTAAGTCAGTTGGTAACGCAACCCACCCGGTACAAGATAAATCAAAACCCTTCCACATTGGACTTAATTATCACTAGTGACGACAACTCTCTGGCCCATTTGGAATACCTTGATCCTGTCGGAAAGTCAGATCACTCCACCCTCAAGGCTAATTTCCAGATTTCCAGATTTGCACGCTTTCGAAGGAAAGAACAGTCACATACACCAGAGCTGTTATTGACTACAGATCTGTGAATAAAGCCTTAACCGATGTTCACTGGCCGTCGTTGTTCGTTACCTCCTCGGTCGTAGATAACTGGGAATTATTTAAGACCACAGTGCTCGACCTCGTGTGTAAACACTCCTCTAGTATTAGCATCAAAAGATCCCCAACTAAACCATGGATTGGTAAAAAAATTCTAAAAATGGTAAGAACTAAACGAGCTCTATGGCGAGCATTTAAGAGATCAGGAAATCAAAACGACTACAAAGCATATCGAAATTTTTCCAATAATCTTTCAGTCATAATTAGAAAAGCTCGTATCGCATACGAAAAGCAACTTGCCGACTCAACAGACACTAAGGGTTTTTACAGACATATTCGTAACAAACTTCCTGGGCCCGTGTCGACTCTTCAATTAAGAGACGACGACGACAAAATCACCGATGACTGTGCTACTGTTGCAAATATTTTCGCAGACACATTTTCTAAAACTTTCACTCTTGAAACTGACAGTACATTACCAACTGCAATAATACCCAAGCCGAATGTCTCCCTCGATAGTATTGAGTTCCCTGAAGATGTCATTTGTAGTAAGTTGAAGAAACTAAAACTTTCTAAATCCCCTGGGCCGGACGCAATTACTGCTTCCGTTTTGGCGCACTGTGCCGAATGTCTTTCTCTACCTCTGAGTCTCTTAATGAAACAATCATTTACTTCAGGCATCTTGCCATTTGATTGGAAAACTGCAATCGTGAGACCTATCTTTAAGAAGGGAGTTAAGTTCAATCCCTGTAATTATCGGCCCATTAGTCTGACCTCCCTCATTGTTAAAACCATGGAGTCTATAATCTACGAAACTCTCATTAAGTTCCTATTGGATCAACATCTTATTCCGGAAGAACAGCACGGTTTTCTTCCCGGCAAGTCCACAATTTCGAATCTCCTTTGTTGTCTCTCAAACTGGACCCGGCATTATGATTCCAGTTGATGTTGTTTACTTGGATTATTCCAAAGTTTTCGATAGGGTTCCCAAACGCCGGCTTTTAGGCAAGCTTGAAAATCTTGGAATAGCGGGGAATCTACTTCATTGGATTGGCGCCTTTTTGTCTGATCGTACGTTTAGAGTGAGGGTTGGTGACGGCCTAAGGGAGCATAGACCGGTCCTGAGTGGTGTACCTCAAGGATCGATTTTGGGTCCACTATTGTTCATAGCATACACCTCTGATTTAAAAGTTATTATTCAATCACCTTTCGCCATGTATGCTGATGATATAAAAATATACAACACCAGCAACAATCAGTCTATCCTGAAAAGCGACTTGTCAGCTATCGCCGAATGGTGCTCTGCCTGGTTACTACCTCTAAACGTATCTGAATGTTCGGTTCTATATATTGGTAAAAATAACCCGCAACAAAGTTAACAAAATCGAATCACTATCGGATTTAGGGGTGTTCATGACTTCTTGCCTATGTTGGTCTGAGCATGTTCAGCGTGTTGTAAAAAAGGCAAATTCACTGGTGTTTCTCCTCAGTAAAGTATTTGCAAAAAGTCACTTTAGCGTCGTCAGTAAATTTTATAGGACCTATATTAGACCCATCCTCGAGTTTGGTAATAGTGTCTGGGCTCCTATATTCCAAAAGGATGTGCTGTTGCTCGAGTCAGTGCAAAGAAAAGCATCAAGAATTCCGTTTGGACGTACTCGTCCAAAATACAAGGACAGATTATCTATGATGCAGCTTCCTACGCTCTCTGATCGTCGTAAGAGAGGAGATCTAATTGTTACGTTTCAAGCCTTAAAAGCTCCTCTGTCTTCTATTAAACACCTGTTTCCATTAGCACATAACAATAGAACTAGAGGACACTGCCTAAAACTGTCCAAAGATAAATTTCAGACCACCGTTAGGCAACATTTTATTGTAAACAGGATTTTCGAATCATGGAATTCTCTACCCTCAGACATTGTAATGTGTGATTCAATTTCCAGTTTCAAACGCAAATATGACGCCTACAATGTTTAAGAAGTTTCTTCTCTTCCAGATTTTATCATTCTAGCCACCAATCACTTGATTAGCGCGGGCATAACAGGCAGTGAATTTTTAACCACATCACTTGCCATGTCGATAGATAAAAAAATATAAGTTTCCGTTCCCTGCAATAAAAATATGCGGAGGACGCCATGATCTTTAATTTATAATAAATTTTCTAGCGTAGCAATTACAAACTGAAGTATTACAAACGTTGCAGAGCAGGGATGCTCCTTTAAAAGAGCTTGTTACATTTCAAAAACTTCAGTTGGTCGTTTGTCGTACATTCAGAGACAATGGAAGACATAATACAGCAAAGTTTCAAAATAAATGTGATTGTGTTAAAAATGTCTGAAAATAAGTCAGTGTTTGTGAAAGTGGAAGCTTATACTCTGTATTTTACTCTACTAATTTTGGCTACAATACTCACATTTGCAAACCTTTTCTTAGGCAAAAACGCTGACAACATGCAAACGAATTTGATGAACCGAAACTTTATTTGCCTGGTTTAAGATTTTACCGTTTTTGCGATATGGAGAAAAAATTAAAAAGTGCATAAATTTCTTTGGGCATCAGGATTTTGCAGCAAGAGATTCGAAAGAAAAAAAAGTTACTGATGAATGCATTCTAATTTGCCGGAGAAATTCTACTGCTTACTTCTATGGCGTAGTTACGGCCGAACTACTCTGGAATTTACCTGTGGTGATAACGACAGAGAAAAAGCTTGCCATATATCCATGGTTGCCATATGATCCCATGTCTACAAATTTAGTTTACGGTGCTACGCTGCTATACACAATGAGTGGTAAGTACTAAAAAAAAAACAATAATGTTAAGAAAACGTTTTTATTTAGTGCCTTTACAGTTACTTTATATACTGGATTCGCTGCAACAATGATGGATCCATTAATTGGGGGTTTAGCTTATAATGCCACTCCTCGAATAAAAATTTTGAAGTATAATTTACGGTATCTAGGCAAACACATACAGAAGGTCACAAATAAACTAAATGAGTACAGTACAATAACATATAAAATGGCTTACAAAGATCTGAAGCAGTGTGTGAGACACCACAACCAGATTTTAGAGTAAGTAAAACAGTATTCAGAAAGTTACTCAGCCTTGCCATACTTATTTGATTTAACTTTTTTTATTATTCTTATGAAACTCTCCATTTTTACGTTTTGGGTGGTTTATCATAAACCATTTTAGACATATTCATACATAAAAATTGACGAAGTTCTTACAGTCCATAGTAATACTTAGTTATTTTTAGACTTTTACAGACTGACTTGCATTGTCTTATCAGTTTGCCCATTGACTTTTTATTTTCCATGGAAATTAGACGATGTCTGTGCAGTTTAGATTTTGTCCATTATATTTTTCAGCTTTATAGTCGAGTATGAAGAATGTTTTTCGTGGTATGTGTTTTGGCAATTTGCATCAAGTTTGCTGTCCATGTGTTTTTGTTGCATAGGATCTACTCTCGTTAGTTCCACATTTTTTCGTGAGAATCAATTCTATACATGGTTGAAGTTGCAAGCATGAATACAGTTACTTACGTATTCTATTTTGTGATCATTAGTTGCCAGATTTTATTTTATTGTCACTACGGAACGCTGCTCTATGAATAAGTATGTATATCTTTTTCGGAAGCAATTTTTTTATTTTTTCTTGTAGAATAATAGTTTGACAGAAGCTATATATATATGGGTTTTTGGTACCAATACGATGTTAAAATCAGGAAGGTTTTACTTATGATAATGGAGCGTTCAAAAAGATCTATGGTTTTTACTGCTGGTGCTATTATTGATGTTACTCTTGTGACATTCCTATCGGTAAATTTATAGAATATCTTTTGAGTTAATTATTATATTTATTTGTATTTTTAGGTTCTGAAAACAAGTTACTCGTTAGTTACCGTTTTAAATAATTTAGACATATCTAGAATGGAAAAAATGTACGGATAGACTGATGGCGATGTTATTTTACTTTAAGTTAGTAACAAAAGAAACTCTGTTACAAATCTAGTGTGTCCAAATTTTTTGTACTATCCATTCCTTGTAGTTATCCCCACCAATCCAGTTGTCTTCTTTTGATCTGCTTCTTTACTGATTCTATTTGTAGTTCTTTTCTCATTGATAGATTCCTGTATCTGTTGGTTTTAGTTACACCTTAGACTCTTCGTAAATATTTCATATCCGTCGCCTGAATCTTATTTTTTCCTGCTTTGTTAGCACCCATGCTTGACATCCCTAAGTCCTATACTAACATATAGACTTTTATTTTTGTGTGCTCTGTAATCTCGTTCTTTATGTATTAATCCCCTACTCACGTTACTAGCGTTTTGTATTCTTTGTTTATTTCTGCTTCATGTTTTATGTTCTATTTCTACTCCCCCAATTTGTCTGTGCATAGCTTTCTCTTCTCCTAAAATTGACTTTAATTTTCAAGGTTTATTTTCATTCCATACTTCGTAGGAGTCTCGTTCCATACTTCCGGTTCTCTTATAAGACGTACACTATTATTTTCTCCGTTGTCGATATTTTCATTTTTATGTTTCTTTACTTTGACCACTGTGTCACCTCGAACTAAATCCAATAGAAAAAATCTAGGCCCAGATAACAAAAATTTGTATAAACCCATAAAATAGTAGCACGAAAATTCCAAAGATTCGGTGAGCAAGAATGAAAGGGTGTCTACAACCATGCTCATACAGTTGAACATGAATATTGGGCAAGGGAGTTTCTTATGGATGAAGTCCAGGAATTAATAATTCACATCAAGACGGGCGAAATTCACGAATATTTTTGAAACAGTGATGGTGTTGATGACAATGACAATATGGGGTGTTCTTCATTACTGATTAACGACGAAATTCCCGATGGGATGGACGATCCGGAATCTCGCCGATAACGTATGCGGTGGCGGCGTACTTGGGTGCCAAGCTTTGGGTCGACTAGTATCGCTGATATCAGAAACATGTCTGGTCGACCAAGCTTATGCGGCGACCTTCACGCCGCCGGGGGTGGCGCCTTCGGTCAGGAGCGGCGGTCGCTTGGGCGCCAGCTCCCTCTCCGGGGGAGGGAGCGCCGGGGTGCTCTAAAGCCGGAGACACAGAATTCAGGTGGTGAGCCTCCGCGAAATCACGAGAATAGACAAAATAAAACGGCAAGGATATTTTGCAATAAATAGAAGACGGCACGGCGACCCGGGAGGGAATCGCGGTGACGGTAACGACGCATGCACGACGGTTACGACTTTTGACGGCGACAACAAAAAAAACGGTGTTGGTAACACGGTTTCTCGCTCGGGGGCGGCGATTCCAAAACAGGTACAAAACAGGCAGGCGACCCAAATAGTACTTTCGGTGGTCGGAGGGTCACACTGCACCCTTCAAAATCACAAAAAACTCAAAACAGCCACAAACTTCCGCACTCCCTGAAGTTTCAGGCAAGAATCCTCTTCTTCCACCGCGGCGGCGCGGCGATTGCTGTTTTACCCCCGGCTCTCGTGGCACGCGTCCCGTTTTTCGGCCCGCGAAAATTCGCTTCGTTACAAGAACAAATTCAAATAAACAGTCTTACAAAAAAAGGCTCGCAATATTTTATATGGCCCTTTTTTCCCCATAACAAACCTGGTCAATCCAGTTATTAATGATACAAATACCTCAAAGTTTGGATTTATCGTCGACCGAGTTTGTGGAAACTCCAGGTTAATTGTTTTATTATATTTTACACCTTGTACACAAACAATTCTTCTGAGCTAAACTATTTTATATTGGAACTCTAATACCCCAGATTTCTTATAAGATGGTCTGCGTTTTCAGGACAGTGTTGCTCTCTTATCTTTTCTTACTAGTGTTCTTTTTTACTTACTTTCACGTTAAAATCATCCTTTATGTGCAAGATTCCTTTCCCATTCTCTGTTCCCACAGTTAGGTCTTCTCGTTTTCGTATGCTGTTACGACTGTTCTTTGTTAAAGTTTTTCACTTCTATCGTAAATATTCTTTCCAACCGTCTTTCCTTTCCCACTTATCAATGTTATTTGCCGATTCCTTAAATGTATATTGTGAGAATCCAAACATCCCGCCTGAAAAAAAAAATTGAAAGCCCGCAAAAAAATAGAACCCTACATTGTGTTTGTTTTTGAAAAATGGCGGTACCCCAAGGTTGGAAATGTACCCCTGAATAAAACACAAAATATATGTAGGACACAAAATTATTTATTCCTCCACTGACAAAAAAAGCTGCGAATAAGCTGTGCGGTTGAAGACTGAAAATTTAAATTAAAATAACTGGATGCAAACACACAAGTTATTACGGAGTGTGGCGGTAAATTTAAATTATGGCCGTCAACAAGGGAACAAAATTTTAATAAAAAACTATGCAGTGGCAGCGGCACCAGAGCATTATAAACAGTGTGGCAATCGAACTATATCAATTTCATTCTGGAGCACACCAAGATTACCCGTAGGGCGCGTTGTAGCACGAGCGGAGTTTGGGACTCCTGGTTGTGGCTATTCTCCCACCACGACGGTTATTCTATTCTATCGGCAAGCACCTCTCTATTACCAAGAAACGTGCCGCGCGTAAACCAGACCGTTACGGAAGCAACCTCGTGGCTATTGGGCCAAGGTGCGAGCGTCACGTCATCCCGACCTCTTCTCTGACTTCTATTCTAGTTTTGCATCTTTTGTGCAGATAGCGCGACCGCCAGCTAGGCAAGGAAGCGCGCACTCCGCTTCTACCACGTGTTTCGGTGTTGCTTAACCTCCATTCCATTTAAATGTTCAATTTCTATGAATCTAATATTAAACTACAACTGAACAAGTGTTAAAGTTTCAAAAGGAACAATAAGCAACATTTAAATTCGCCATACACTCTCGTGAAATTTTAAACAGCAAACAATTCTTATCCGAGATTAAGATTGGACATGAGAAAATAAGAAGCCATATTAGAAATATTACATAAAAAAAATAGCAAAGATTTATAAAAACAAAAAGATCTGGTGTGAAATAAAACTTGTGCAGACAAAAATATTAGGTGAGGTTAGGAACTACAGAGCATGAAAATTTACGTTTGATTTAAATTACACAGCAAAGAAAATTACTGAGGCTAAAATTGCGAGATAGAGAAAAATTGCGTTAGCTGAAAAATTGCAAAGCTAACAAAATTACATGAGATTAATATTTTATGTACATTCGAGTTATTGGTTAGTCTTTTAAAGTTAAGTTATTCAGCTGAATTGTGGGCCATCGTTTTACACCCCCCTAAACAAACGAAAAAAAAAAACATAGCAGGCAATTTGGAGGTTCAAAATGGCGTCGGACGAATGCCTCGTTAAAAGAAAAACGTCAAGAATATGTCTGTTAGAAATGCGATCAGTCCTGTGGCGCTGTGCAAATAATGATCTAAATCAAAGGAATAAAATGCAATAAGATTTTACAGCTCAACATATGCTCGATTTGAAAATACTTTTTTAACATGGCCGGTGCCAGAACAAAGAATTTACCTGATGGTCAATTATACCACATTTTATCAACGATTCAAACAAAGAATCTACGTGATGTTAAATTATACCACACTTTATCAACGATTCAATCAAAGAATTTACAATGTCCAATTATGCCTTTATCTAAGTGATAGGTTAATTAAAACGATTAGCTTTGAGAGTTTATATCGTGGACTGTCCCCACCGTATCCCAAACAAAATACATGATAAATAAACACAAAATGCATCCAGTGTTGCGAGGAATATGCGTCCCTTTGAAGTAATTTTCAACGTAGCGAGAAAGTGTCTCGGTGTGTGATGATATGATGATATGATGGTAACAACTGCCCCCCTTACTTCAGTCCACGATATTATGAATTCTACCGCACTTTCCACGATCTTTTTCAAGAGTGGGGCAACATTAGGTTGTTAATTTATCTGCCATAAATGAACTATTAGCAATCTTCTGTGACAAATTAAGGAGTATTATGATGTAACAGTTAAGTACAAGCACCCAGAAATCTTATTCATAACTTAATAAACAAAGGATAAGTTATGACTAAGTAAATCTCATGAAGTCTAGCAAGTGCTGTATTTAAACAAACTGTTGAAGTGTGGTAGAACCAATTAACAACTCACTAAAAACACTAGAGCAGTTTTATGACCGTTCACCCGATTTATTCGCACTCCGCGCCAGGTAAAATATAATCAAGTTAACAGAGTATTTTTTCGTAACACAGTGCGTTCGAACCAACGGGATTAAATTATGATACAATGACGAATTCAGAAAAACAGGTTCTACAAAATTGTCTAAAGAAATACAAAAGAAACAGTTATATTTTTACTTCCCAAGCGTTTATAGAGATTATAACAAATAAAATTTCGCGAAATTGAATTTTATAATTTTTTAGAAAGTGTTTTATTGGATTATACTTTAGAACCGAGAGAAGTGCTGCTGAAACAAATTTCAACCAATTTTTTCCTATTCTTAATGAATATTTTTAACAAAACGAATTTTGTTGGTCAAAACTTACCAGTCACACAAAATGTAAGTAAATACACTGTAACAACAATTTTCAGTCGTAATTAAATATATCACATTAGATAAAGATGTTTTTTGGGTTACCACTTAATGTGTCCCTTTATGACACAGTTTCGTTTAAACCCAGTTTTAACTGATTTGCAATCACATCAATATAACGTAGTGATAAATATTTATTACGTGTTGGATATAAACTTGATCTTTTTTCTTGCAACGCCCTACACTCTGGAACTTTATGAATTATTTTTTTGCATAATTAATTAAACAGAATCTATAATTACTTTCAAAGGATTATGTAACTGACAGATCCTTTGTAAAAGTCACTCGTTTTAAAAGAATAAAAAATAAAACAATGTATTTATGAAAACCGATAGAAGAGGCACCTTGTAATTATATTGTTATTAACCGCATTTTCCCAAAGCTTTGATAAAAAA